TATCGATATGGTACATACCAGCTGGTGGAGCATTGCTTTTCAATGTTCTATGAATAAATAATGTAACAGGATCAGCCACACCCACCAGTTGTACTGAGTAGTGTAGTGTAGGGACAGCATCAGGTGATCCTTGAAATGATATGAAACAATATGAAGGAATAGACCCATCAGTTCCATCAAATGAATCAATATCCTCTTGATATAACTAAAGGAACTGAATCAATTAATAAACTAATATATTAATAATCTTACCCTGCAAGGTTTAATTAATGGAATGACAGTCCAACCAGCTGATGGTTTCTCATTAAAATTCAATTCAATAAAACAATTGGACCATTTGAAATGAAAATAATGAATTGGACCAACTTCAGCAAAACAATGATGATCTTTGATGTACTAAATATTTGGTAATTATTATTTTTTATTGTGACTAAAATAGTTACCTCAAGAAGAGCAGTCAGCATTTTAACTGGTACAGCAGTGAAATATATAAAAGAATTCTTTTCATAAAATATCAGACAAGCATATCCTTCACTAGATCTGTTGTCTTCTTGTGTATAAAACTGATCCATATATTTCTATAAGTAAGGCATTATTTGATAGCAAGATTATAAATAACTTACTTCTTTTGCTTCCTCCTCACTCTGCTGCAATGATTCTTTCTCCTTTTCTTCATTCTCTACAATAAATATTACACCATACATGTACATACATAAAACATTACCTAATGACAACTGATGAGGCTCCAATGAATGTTTCTATTACAAATCTCATAATTAATGTATCAAATACTAATACACCATCACTTACCACAATGAATACAATAGTGCCATCAACAGTAATTTCAACTACTCCTTTAGACTCAAAAAGGTCACCATTCTTCATAACATAATCCTTCGTCTCCTCCACTAGCCAATGAGGTATCACACAAACAAACGTCAGTAGACTGTTGTGGACAGTACTCAACTGAATGTACATATAAATGTCTTGACGACTAAAGGCATCTTGGAGAAATTTCTTAAAATCTTGAAGTGTTGCTTTATCAACAGGCCATGTTACTTCAAATGTAACCTGTTAATTAATAATTAAACATAAGCTTTGTTATAGCGTTAAATATGTATTAATTAAAGCACTGTTGATAGTAGGTTACGGAAATTATTGCACGAGGGGCGGTCGAGAGGAAAATGTAGCACGAGGCGAAGCCGAGTGCTACATTTTTTTTTAGAGCGTCCCGAGTGTAATAATTTCCGTAATCTACGAATCAACAGTGCTTTGAT